TTCCCTCATAAATTTCGGCTACATCCGCTGTTTTGTATTTTGCATATATGTGTAGAGAGTTTACATTTACATTGAGATGAAACTATGAACTAAAAGGAAGAAATAATGAAGGAGAGAGTTTCGATTAAAAAAAAAATATTCCGGAGAGAGAGAGTTTTATGAGCAGGCCAGCCCCCCTTTTATAGAGACTAACTATTCTCTGGGCCTTTAAGTATGATCGTTGGGCCCGAAATGGAGATGCCATTGGGCCTGAAATAGTGAGGCCGAGACCCTAGTGACCCTCCAACTTTAAGATTTCAAATTTAATACTTCCTTCTAATTTTCGGGAGAGGCTACAATTAAGAGTTTAAAGTGAGGAGGCCAATCCCACTATTAGACCTGGCAATATTGCATACGACCCGTTAATACGACACGAATTCGCACGAAATTATCAGTATTTGGATTGAGCTTATTGGGTCGCGGGTGAACCCGTTAGCCACCCGTTAAGCTAACGGGTCGTATCGGGTCTAAAACGGGTTAACCCGTTAGCCACCCGTTAAGGAGGTTAATTCTGTAATTTTGCAAAATATTTTTATTTTCTTTTCTTCTTCCCCTTTTCTTTCTTCTTTTCCGTGTCTTTTTCTTCTTAAACCCTTTTCCTTTTCTTCTGCCTCTCATTCTTCTCTTCTTCTCTTCTACTCGAACAAACAATGGCCTCCAAGGGCGAGTCTGTAGACTATGTATACTATGCTCCGATCCCATTCGACCCGACCCACACCCAATCCCAGCAAACCAGCAAACCGTCATCCACGACGTGTTTTACTTGCTTGAAGCTTTGGCTAGGGGTGTAATACCCTTTGATACTGATACGGAGGTGGAAGGGACTTTGGGGCTCTTTTTCTTCAAAATTCCTATCAAGGTAAACTTGCTCTTGATTCAATGTAGAAGCTTTTAGTTGGTATTGATTCTATCTGATGTTTGCTTGGAACAGTAAAAGTTAAAGATTGAATTTTGCATTGATTCCGTACTAACTTGTCAATTTTTTGAACAAAGTTGCAAACTTTTTGTTGGTGAAATGGTCTTCGTATCTGTATGAAATTCAGTAGGCTACGTTAATTCAACCCGTTTGCCAGGTCTACCCACTATCAAAACGTTAAAAATGTTTAAGTTCCATGATTTCTTTACATTTGTTGATGGTGAGATTGACCTCCTCAAATAGTCTCCTCACTTTGTTTAAACTTCACATTATAGTCTCTCCGATAATTTTCACTCAAGTGATCCTCTAACTCTCGCTTTCATGTCAAATTGATCCCACCATCAAATTAAATCAAATTTGCCGTCAAATTGATGTCAATTTGGACACTAGTCTCCTCTAAAACAACCAACCCAGCTATGAAACTGACATTTTCCTCCATAAAAATGTCACTCTTATCTTATGGGATAGGGTTTCAATTTGGAGGAAAATGTTGGTTACTGAGCTGGAGTGGTTCTTTTAGCGGAGATTAATGCCCAAATTGCAGCATATTTGAAAATTTATGAGCAAACCGGAGGATACATAATAAAAAGCTTCCATAATTGTGTACGCGGTAAAATACGGTTTAACCGGGAGAAGACAAAAGAGGGAGAATCACTGACAATTTGAAAAAAAACCCAATCGTCGACACCCGACAGTCCACTCTCGGATCCGATCCGTCTTATATTCCCTCCCATTCCATCTCTCTCCTCCTCCATCTCTTGTATCTCACCTCACCATCCACATCACACCTACATCCACCAGATGCTTCCTTCGCACTTCCATCACCAACAACACTACCCTCACACAAATTCCCTTTCTGCACCTCCAAATTTCCCCTATTTCCTCTCCCTACCCCCTCACCGCCACCGCCACCGCCACCTCCACCGCCGTCGGATTTATGTATAGCAGAAAAGACATTCTAGGGTTTCTGTGTTCTGGTCTCATCCTTGGCGCCGGATAAGATCAACTGACTCGACGAATTCGATCAATGCTGGTCCCTGGAATTCTAGGGTTTCAGGGCCTCCTACTGCTCCTCGTCCTGGCCTGTTTCCTTGTGATTCGTCACAAATGGAAGAATGCGGTGATCAATAAAGAGGAAATCATGCGGCTTTTGGCTATGGCTTCCGAAGAGACCGCCGTCGCTGAGTTTCAGGCCACGTCTCCTTACGCTCCGGTTGTGCAGCCGGTGTCCTTGCCGTACCACTGTGCCGTCTGCTATGCCAGCACCACAATGCGCTGCTCTAAATGCAAGGCTGTCCGATACTGGTTCGTTTTTCTTTAAATTATTGTTTATTTTTAGCTTTATTTTATGCTTTTTCTGGACGATGTTTATGTTTGCGTATTTGTTTGAATTATGTGATGGATTCAGCTTACTGTTTAATTGAGAAATTGCAATTGTCCAGCTAGTGTGTTGCTTGTGTATCAAAATTCAATTGCGTGAGATTATGCCCTTGGATTATTATTAGTACTATTATTATTTTGTGTTGAGGAAACATTATAAATAAGAAAATTTACATGATTTGATATTTGGATCTGGCTGCTAGCTCCTACGGGAAAGATTTGATTTGATTTTAGTTTTGAAGACATTATCACCAGATTTAACTATAATATTTTGGGCTTTCGATGATGCCTTTCTGTATGTCTAACTCTCTGAACTCTGAACTCTGAACTACCATGGGATTTGCACAATCACTCTCATTCTTGCCTTGGTGGTTACACATGCTAGCATAGATATAGTTAAACATTGTTTTCACTTGAACATTTTCTTGTAGTTCTGGTAAGTGTCAAATCATTCATTGGAGACAAGGTCACAAAGATGAATGTCAGCCTTCAATTGATGCCATGCGGTTCCAAGACAGGAGTGACTTCCATGGTGAATCAATATCTCATCACGGTAATCATTTTTGAGATACAGTA